TTTTCACCATACTTCTCTCGCAACTGAGAGCTGACAGACTCATCAACAAGTTTTGTTTGAGGGCAGAGCGAGAGACAAACCGCAAGTAATGCATACATCTGCTCATTCTTCTTCAGTATTTGTTCATACTGAGGTGATTTTTGGTGATACTGCTTTGTCTTGAAGATGTAGAGGAGAATCTTGTTGAATTCACGAACAGCATCAACATACCTGCCAAAAGGTTACCCCGATTATATCATCAGGCTCTTATCAACTAAGCCAAACGCAAACACGTATTCTATGATGGGAGCACAACAACAGTAATAACTATCGTCGTGATCACACAAATAAAAGAGACTAATATACTTATTACTTGATTATTATGTCTATCAACAACTCTCTTTTTAACCTAGAAGTACATTTCTCCTCAGAGCTCTAAGTTCAAGACCATGCAGATTGCTAATATGCTCACCGCAAATCATATCTGCTTCCTAACTGAAGGTCTGTGTATGCAAACTAATTAGCAGTGTGAGAAAATGTTGAGAAACTTTCTCCCTGAAGAGATCTTCCCAGTCCCCAAAATGCTAAGAAGTTGTCAGATAAAAGCAATGAGATTATACCTTCGCAGCATAAGGTTGGCAAATCCGTAGTGATATATAGTTGCGATATGGCATCCTATGACACTAGTGTAAACACCTTGCTGAGTGATGTCAATGGGCTGCAACCATTTCAGACCAGTATGGTAATCTCCCAGGAGGCAGTGAACACGCAGCAGACCGACCATGCTGAAGTAACCAAGGACCTTCAACACGTTGCTTCCACCACTGTAGTCGTACCCATCAGTGGCAGTGAACTGTTCAAGTCCTTCCTTCTCTTGCTCCAGAATTTGGATGATCGTAGACTTTTCCACAAGCGCTTGCAAGAAGTTGAGCACCCCATACACATTCCATGCCTGAGACAGACATATAGTTAAGTAGTTACATATGCAGAACTAAAAAAGGACAACAGAAAGAAAAGAGCACTAATAAAATCAGTAAAGTGATCCATTAAACTTCACAGGGCACTACTACGAAATAAAACAGTGGGATAACATCTAATGGAAGAATTTATACCTTCTCATTCTGTTTCAGCAGTGCAATTTCCTGCTCTGTTTTGTTCTTCATCTTTGCTCGGTATTGACAAAAGCTTTGGAACTGATAGACAAACTCATCCACCATATCCCACAACCACTGATTCGGCAACTGCATATTCACTACTCCGTGCAACACCACCTACCAAATTCCGTAGCAAACCACACAAACTCACTCAAATTTCCCATAAAACCAGAACATAAGCTTACTCTATCTTAGTCCATAAAGCAAGACCATCTTTATTTCACACCTTAATCCATAAACAAAACAGTATAGGACTAACCAATCCAAATCACAGACCAGACCTGTGAGAACAAATCTAGTTCTACTAAGACCAATCCAAATTCATACAATCCCAATGACAGAAACAGAGAAACACACCTGAAATAAGTTGCAATAGTTATCATAAGAATCAAGCCTCTGCTTGAGCGTAGGCGATAACCTCGCATACAAGTGCCGGAACCACATCTCACGGTATAGAAGACAGAAAACGTGATCGTTGTCTACGTAAGGAGCAATTGCTTCCACAGAAGGCCATGGCGTGTCCTTGAACAGCCGTTCCGATAAGGTCTGGAACGATGTCTCACACATCTGGTGGATCTCGTACACATTCTTCTCCCTAATGTGTCTGTACATGTGAACCACGAACGATTTCACAGAATCCGGCACAAAGTTCGGGTCGTAGCCAGCGTCCTGGCCTCCCTGCCGCTGAGCCTCGTCGTAGTTCGCCGGAGCAGCATCGTCGTACTCGTAGTTGCTCGCCATGGTTGCAGGAATCTACCTCAATCCCTGATTCACAGTCTAGCTGATGAATGAATCGTGGCTTCAGAAGAACGAAAAGAGGGGACACGAAGGAGAAGGACAAGATGCTAAAGCTAGGGTTTACAGAAGAATCGATAACCGGTTTCCGGGTCGGGTCGAGTTATATTCGGTCGAGTTAAATTAAATAAAAAATAAAAAATAAAGAGAAAACAGAAGTAGTTAAAAGCCGACTGGTAGAGCATCATTATCCATGAAATTTAGTGGATATCAGACACTAAAATCGATTAAAAAAATTGGGCCGACTGATTTGTGGGCTGATTCGTCTCAGCCTGCTGAGTCTGTTGAGTCGTCTCAGCGGGACACATGTTGAGCACACATTGGATCGACACTTTTTTTTTTTTGGCCCAAACACGCGAAAAAAAATCATTTGGTCGGGAAATTTTTTTCTCTCTGGTTTCTTCTTCTCTGAGGCGATTCATGGCGCTTGAGCCGGCGAATCAACGCTGTTCTTCGCCGTGATCTTCCTCGTGCATGTTGCCGTCGGCTACAGGTCGACATAGATGTTACGACATGGAGCCCTACAGGTCGAATACGCCATGGAAACAGTGAAGCAAGGCTCTGTGCAATTGGTCTCAGATCTCGCAACCATGTCGTACTCGCTTGTGTTAACAAAACCCAATCGGAGGTCTCTTCACATCAGAGGAAAATCTTCAAAGTCGATGACTATATAGGCGTTGCAATCGCCGGTCTCACCGTCGATGGTCGTGTTCTCTCTCGTTATATGAGATCGGATTCAATCAATCACTCTTTCACCTACGAGTCTCCTCTTCCCGTTGGCCGGCGTGTCGTTCATCTCGCCGATCAAGCCCAGATTCGCTGCTATCGCCTCTTTTGCTTGTATCGTTGATTCAGATTTGATGAATTTGGATCAATCACACTTGATTTTGGCTCTTTGAGCTTAAAATTCACCCATTAGCTTGTTGAATTTGCGCTTATGATGATGCATGCTATGATGATATACATTGGTCTACTGATTAGTTTGCGATCAACTGTTGATGATTTGGAATTAGAGCTTTAGGAGCTTTAGGGCAAGTATGATAGTGATCAGAGCTGATTTGTTTTGCATGTTGTGTTGTCACAGCTGCATAATCTTGAATATAAAGATTTACCTTTTATGGGCATGTCTTACAAAACATTCACTTTAGCAAATAGGATTCGAGAAGAATGTCTTGCTTCTAGTATCACATATGTTGTCTCGCCGGTTACTACTATTGCTACATTTTGCTCTGCAACTTTGGCTAAAGGTTAGCCTCTTCCTGCCATGTTTGTATTCCCAAGCTAAGGTATTTCCTTGTTGAGTAGTGGTTCCTAAACTATATAGCTAAGAACATTCAAGATAATATTGTTAAGAAAGTTGGTGAATGTAAATGTATAGGTACACCAGAAGGTATCGGACCTGTAAAGATTGGTTAGAAGATAACCATTGTTGAGTTCTGGTCGTGTTAGTGTTGTTTAAATCAGCTAAGTTTGCTCTCTCTTTGTTCTTATTTTAAAATTCTCATTGTTGTGTTAGAATTGTACTGAGGATAATGATTCCAATAAGAAAGCGAACTTCTCTGAGGAAGAAGAGGACCTGGAAGAAGAGAAGAAAGTTGTGTCTTCTAAGAAGAGGTATGGAGTTATTTAGTATTCATTCTCTGTTTCATCAAAGGCAAAGAGTGATCAATACATGTCTTGATTTACTTCTTCACAATGGCAGCAAGATGCTTTGCCGGGGAAACAGTACAACATTCATGTTTCTGGTAACAATATTCCACCCCCACTTAAAAGCTTTGCAGAGTTGTCATCAAGGTGCGTGGAATTGGATTTTATACTTACAGTAGTTTGACTTATTATTATCATAGGATTAGTGGTTTTGGTGTTTATGTATATATGAAATCCTCGTTGGAATTTTCCCGAGACCTTTCGTCTATTGATATACTTGTTTACGTGTTTAATCCCAGGGTCGTGAATGTTTCGCCTTTGCTCCAACTGGGTCTGGAAAAACCATGC